TTTTCTTTTCTTTTTTCGAAGTGAGCCCTTTTTTTCCTTTGCCTACAAGTTGCTATCATGTTCAATATGTCCAATGTCTTTCGCTATTTCTGATTTTACTGTATCCGGTTTTATTCAATGCCTTACGGTTCCTTGATCTTTATGTTGATTTTTTTTTCCGTTTTACAAATATTCTTCTGCTCATAGTCGCCTATTTTTATGCAATGAATTCCTCAACGGTCCATTTAGTTCGCCTCATGATTCGTGAGTGAGTTTGTCAATAATTGTATCTCTTCGTAATATTAGTCGTAGTTTACGAGTTATTTCACAGGAAGTTAGATGCATTTTTGCACACCTTTCTCCATCTTTATTTTCCCTTCATAACAATGCAATCGACTTTTCACAGTCCGCATGTTTCTTTGTATTACCTATATCGAGTATCCATTGTCGATAAACAATCGTGTCAATTTTACCAATTCTTTATCCCATAGTTCCATGTCAAGTAATCTTAGGCTTTTGGTAATAATGCTACTTATCAATCTGCTCTTCAGTCTATGGTTAATATTAGACTGGAAATTAAGGATAATTCGTGCTGTATTCACCCTATTCTGTTAAAGTTATTGAAGGACTAGTAGTACTAATCCAGCTATCGTACGAAGATTTCTGGTTGGAGCAATGACAATTCATATTTCCCCTTTAATTTGTTCACGCATACGTTTACCAGAAAAGATGAGAGTGGTGATCCTATAGGAGGTCCTAATATTTGTTCATAGGTGTTACTGTAGAATGTAAAATAGATGGTCTATATTGTAAAGTTTTTTAATATCTTAAAGCTTTCCCCCATTCCCTATCTGTTTCCAGGGTATCCAATATTTATTGCAGGAGCTTGACTGCCCTCTCCCTAGATATGCTCGTATGCATAGATTGTACATAAAAGCTCACCAATAACTGTTCATTATGTTCCCACGCTTTTGATCCTTTGAGAAAATTCACATAAATTATTCATTATATCTGATAACATGTCATTTAACTTCACGACTTTCAAATACATAAACTTCTCCACTTTGTGGATTTCTACATACTTGTTGAATATCAGCCTTTGCGGTAATCTGCATGCTTTTGATTGTCGTGTGTCCTTCCTTATTGGTTAATTTATTGTCAATCGGTCGATCTCTTCGTTCATATTCATTAATTTTAGCATATCCTTTAATGCTTTAGTGATATCCATGGTTGGGTCATCCTTTAATTATGATATGTGGTTCTGTCTCTTCTCAATGTAATGCTTCCTGTTTATTATCACTGTCGCTCCTCTTTTATCCACCTACATGACTAATTGATTATTCCTTTGTATAGTTCCGTGTATCCTCGTTAATCTTCACTATGCGTGCTCTTAATATTTCAAGATTATCGGAATTATTTTCATTTGCGTTTCCAGTTTTATCTCCCCAGGGAACTTGTCGGAGATATTTGGTCTCCATAAGGATGTTTTCTATAAAAATTATTTTCTTTGATAGCGAATCAAGATAGATCGAAGATAAATTTGTTGCATCGATCAGTGAATGTTGCTAAGCTCGCTTCCACCTCAAGTTAAGGTGTTCGGTGAAAAACTTTGAAGGTGGACTCCATTAAAAGATGACGGTGGTTTCCTCTTGACCAGCTGTATATTGGCTTTAAATATTCTTGTTTTCGTTATTTTTGAGGCTATCTCCTTTGATTAAGGTGAAAACGTGTTACATTTTCATTCGTTGTATGAAGTAGTTTTCTTGGCTTATTAGCTTGAATATTTTGTAAGAATGATACGCTGTTCTGATGATGTTCGTCAGGCGACAGAGGAAAGCTTAGCACGTTTTTTTCGGAAGATCAGATGATTGTCTCAGAAATATCGTCAGCGAGAATGTTTCAGCAAAACCAATCGAATGCTCGTCTGAGGAATCTGCCGTCCTCTTCTTGTGGGATCCACCTTAGAAACTTTTCATCAAACACATTCACTCTAAATTGAAATGAACCTAACGAATATGCATTAGGAGATTCCTCGAAACCCAGCTCTTATTCTTATATATCAGTGAGCCTAGTCAGTTCCTGAATCATATCATCTGCGTGGGCTGGCTCTTAATTATTAATTCTAACCTTCAAAATCATATATGTACACATTAAATTCTGCTGCAACAAACTTACAAGTGTTGGATAAGGAAGAATTTATGGATACCTTTTTTCATTTCACAAACTTGCATTGCGTTGGTCAAGGTTTTCTAAACTTAGGAAGATTTATTTTAGCTTACGCATATATTTAATTTTTTATAAAACCACTTGACTTATTTATTTATTAGTTTGCTTACAGTCTCTTATTTAACTTTAACTTTAGCCTCGCCATCTTCGCTCCTTGGCCTAAATCCCAAGAAAGCTACTTCATCAACTGACTTGACTGATGCATGCAGTAGCTTAGATGATATTCTGCCCAATGGCAAGCGTGCATTGCTTTCAGAAGAAAAGGCTGTGAAAAATGAAGCTAACGAACATGGGGAAAATGACCAAGAAAGCCTAAACGTTGAAAATTTTGTAACTTGTGATGACGATAAAGCTTCTGAAGAGATAGTAGATTGTCGAATACCCTCACCAAATGAGGCAATTAGAAAGATCGAAACTCGTTCCGAAAAGCTTTCTAGTGCCTTGTCACAAGATTTGCTAATAAATGACTCGGATAATGTTAAATTGTCAACGGATTCATCTGGGTATAGACCGACAAAAACAAAAACGGGGCAAACAAAATGCAGATACCATGCCGAAAAGGACTTGACTCATCTCTCGACTGAACAGGCCAACGTCTTTAACTCTACATCAGAGGTAGCATGTACTCAGCCTGAGGGTATATCACCATGTGAGCCTTTTTTACCTTAGATAAGGTTAAATAATAACCTTTTGTAGATACGAGTAACTGGGTTTCGCTTAATCTCCTGAGATGAAATTGTTTGGGAGACTTTTTTTATTAGAGTTAATGAAGAAATTATTCGAAGGTCTATCTCATTAAAAGAGGACATGCATTAATGACCCTAGACTAAGAGGTTAGGACAAGTGGTTTCGCAACTTCACTTACATAATTACAAGCTAACGTCTCATTATCTCAGCCATACTTGCCCATGGACATAAACAGTCTCGGTCAGGGCATTTTCTCGGGTCACTAAGCCTTGATGATGCATTAGCCCTTTTTATCGCTCTGATTTAGTATCGGTATTGCGGATAGACACACATAAACAGTCGAGCAAAAGTAGCATGAACAATGCGAAAGATAATTAGCCAAACCATTCTATATCAATCCAGACATCTTAATTTTCTTTTGCCTAATTGAGTCTCTATAAGAGGTAAGATAGAGTCGGATAGTCTTCTTGAC